TGATTCCTTGCAAAAATCAAACACACATGCGATCAATTGCTTGCAAACCTTGGAGGATGGAAGATAAACTGGGATGTTTTCGTTTCTCCGCTTTTGCAAAATCAAAATCGGAAGAGGTTGGATAGGACTTATTTGAAATTTTAAACCTACTTTTACAAGAAAGTTCAGGTGGAATAAGTGACCATTCAAATCTTGCCAATTGTGAAATGCACCAAAACATTACACAAAGCGGGGCACCATAAAAATAGTCATTTCTTATTTATACTCTTTAGTGATGGATCAATATTGGTGAAGCTATAAGAGTAGTAAATTTAGCTCAAAACTCAAGTTCATTGTCATTTTTGCGTTGGCAATATAACTTGTTGTAGCAATAATCGGAAAAACGTCAAAACAAAACCTGATTCAGCAAATTCAGCCGAATCATCTATTTCTGCGTCACCGAACAGGCTAAAAGTATCACAGCGTTGTACTATCTATCTAGTCTTCCAATTGGGGATGCCTAATTCAAACATACCTTCTTCAAGCGCGCCCAAAAGATGGCAAATCTTTCTAGGCTTAAGTGCTTATACATAGATCGATATTTGATCTTATTTTGAAGCATAAACAATATAGTATCAAAGTATCATAGTGTTTGATTGTCTATCTAGCCTCCCCGTTCAAGATTCTACTGGCATCAAACTCAAATAATTTTTCAGTCTTCACCATTTAAATTTTCTATTTCTCAATTTCAGGAGTAGTGGATTGGGGTTTTCAACGGGTCATTGAGGTTGTTGGCAGATTGGGGGATTGTTTGAGACAAATTCTACTCTTGGGGTTCTAGTTAATGAGTATTTGTTACCTTAGCTTCTTAGTTCTTATACGAATGTGTTGTATAACATTGGATGAGAAGATGAATGATAAATGATAATAGAGGAAGTAATTACAACCTTGCAGGCGAACAAATTGAATATGTATATGCATCTACATGAAATACGCACAACAAAAAATTAGAGATGAAGACACCTACCTTTTGGATTGAATGCCGGATTTTCGTTCATCCCGCCTTTTCCCTGTTTCTTGACCTCAGGCCAAGACGTCTCTCGCAGCCTTCTTTCAGATATAAGTTGCAGGCTGGATTATTCTTTCACCGTAGAGTGGGTGAGGTTCAGGAATGGGAAGGATCTCTTTGCAAAAACACGTTTTTTTTAATTAAAAAACTGAGGTGGATTAAACTACCAATCATATGCTGCCAAATATGGGATGTATCAAAACATTCCTCAAATCATATGCACCGTAAAATTTTCCTTTATTGAATTCGGCACCTGATGTACTAACGTGATAATAGGGGATTCCAGTTCTGGTTTCGGATAAGGTGGTGAGTTAGTTGCTAATTATTTATTTATTTTAAATAGTGATAATAATTATATACTACGTATATTCTTTAACCAATTAGAAAGTGACACATCAATTTTTTAAAACTCAGTTTTATTATTAAAACAATAGATGAGAACCAGATACAAGTTTGCCATATAAAAAACTACACTAAGATGGAACTCAGAGAAAGAGTCACGCTTACCAACGGCCCAGCTCGTTAATCCCGCATTTTTTTGATCATCAAAACAATCCGCTTATATTAATATCATTAGGAATCGGATCGTTACAATAAACTAAAAAAGATCAACCCTGACAACAACAATCCCTAACCAAGTAGCACTATCAACCCTACGGCTAGACTCAGAGACTGTCACTCCTGAAAGAGTAATACGAATCGCTAATCACCAAGCGAGTGTGACACAACAATCATTGACCATATAGATCCTTCTAACGACATAATATCTAGCAGAAGAGAAAAAATAACTAAGGAATTCTAAGAAGACAAGGAAAAATAATTAAAGCAATATCCAGTTTTTCCTAGCCACTGGTAATTAAGGAAGAAGCCGTTTGTCCAGCCCCCACCAAGGATTCTTCTTGCACCGATCACTGACGGTGCTCTCCAGACAGCACCGCCACTTGCAAATTTTTTGGATTTGCATCATCAACATCCATAGTTCATACTTGCTTGAACTCCCTCCTCACTAGCTTGAACTCCCTCCTCACTAGCCAGTTCAATGACCCTGCGTTTCCTTGGTTCTTCCTCCCTAACAATGGAAATCATACTATAATTGTTTGTAATCATATCCATGATGGATAAAACTTAGTTAAAAACAGAAATAAAACTTAGTTAAAAACACAAATTGAGAGACGCTGACCAAACAAACACACAAGATCCTTTCAATCGAATCAACGACACACAAACATCACGAAAAAACATGTTTAGCAGCAATGGGATTATAGCCCCAGTCTATGTTCAGAATCAAGGCAGCAACAAAGTCTCACGCTCTCAGCCACAAAGGCCGGATCAAAAGTTAAAAACCACGGTGCATGACCCCGAAGCAGAATGAAATCAATAAACAAGCAAAAACGAGAAGAAGAAACAGAGTTGGAGCCAAAGCAACTCACACTGATCAAAGTTGTCTATTTCCCATCTTGGTCGCCGATCGAAACCGATCTTCGCTAGCTGCACAAGATCGCCGCTCCTCCTCGGGTTTTCCTCGTCTCATCTCTCTCTATGAATGCACTCTAATTAGGGATTAGAGTTCTAATTAGTAAATGTCGATATTCTATTGCTTGTGCACAAAGATGAAATAAAGTAAATGTGTTTTGCTATTGCATGTCCACAGACGTTTATATTTGTAATAATCATTTTTTATATATGTGTTCTCTCAGACCCGGATAACACTAATGTAGATGGTGGTACGCCAGACGTCCATGTAAAAGTTGGGATGTTGTTTGCGGGAAAAGATGAAGCCTATGATCATTATAAGAATTACGCAAAACGTATAGGTTTTCCCATTAGGATTAGGAGCTCAAAGAAAGACAAACAGGGAAACGTAACAGGAATGTTAATTGAATGTGGCCGTGCTGGAAATAGAGTTTCAAAGTCAACAAATTGTTTGATGCCTGCAGCTACTAGTGCAATGGGTTGCAAAGCCCGAATCAAAGTAATGTATGACTATGCCGGGTCATGGGTTATTTCGAAAGTGCATGAACAGCATAACCACCCTATGAGTCCTACCAAAACTAGAGCTTTTCGTTGCAATAGGAAATTGACTATGAGCGCGAAGAGAAAAATTGCAATAAATGCGGTTGCCGAAATTCCTCTTCACAAAACCTACACCTCTGCCGTAGTAGAAGCCGAGGGTTATGAGAATTTACCGTTCATTGAAAAGGATTGTAGGAACTACGTTGACAAGTTTCGCCGCTTGCGTTTAGGAAATGGTGATGCCATTGCAATTCAAAGTTTCTTTTACAAAATGCAAGCGGAGTGCCCCGGTTTTTTCTTTGCCCTTGATGTAGATGAAGAATCTCGCCTTCGCAATGTATTTTGGGCGGACAAGCGATGTTGGTATGCTTACAGAGATTTTGGAGATGTGATAACTTTCGATACAACTTATCTCACCAATAAGTACGACATGCCCTTTGCACCTTTTGTAGGAGTAAACCACCATGGGCAATCCATCTTGTTCGGTTGTGGCTTAATTTCAAATGAGGACACCGACACATTTGTGTGGTTGTTTACAAAGTGGCTTGAGTGTATGGATGGTTGTTGTCCTAGTGGAATTATTACCGATCAAGATAGGGCAATGCAAAATGCCATTCAAATTGTGTTCCCAAATACAAGACATCGGTGGTGTCTATGACATATAATGAAGAAGGTGCCTGAGAAGTTGGGAAGGTTGACTGATAAAGATGAAGTTAGTGGTTGTTTACATGATGCTGTTTATGACTCCCAAACAGGTGCACAATTTGAGTTCGCATGGAGTTCTATGTTGCAAAGGTAAGCATTTCTTTTTTACAAGTTGTGTTCAATATGACAACTATTGTAAGATTCATGTTTTGTAATGTGAAGGTTTCATCTTAATGACCACGAATGGCTACATGTGCTTTACAATGAAAGACATCGGTGGGTGCCATGCTACTTGAGGCCAACTTTTTGGGCAGGGATGTCAACGACCCAACGGAGTGAGAGCATTAACGCCTTTTTTGACGACTTTGTTCATTCTAAAACAAGTCTAAAGGAATTTGTTGATCAATACGGGCGTGCATTGAAATGCAAAGTAGAGAAAGAGTTCCAAGAGGATGCTAAGTGTCTCACCAAATTGTTGCCTTGTGTGAGTATATATGCCATGGAACATGAGTTGCAACAAATGTACACACTTGCAAAGTTCAAGGAGTTTCGAGCTCAAATGAACGGGAAGTTGCATTGTGACCTATTAGGGTGTGAGGATGGTATACATTACAATATCCGTGAAGACAAAATGGAGAATGTTTTTTTTTCAAAACAGTCCATGTGGTGGTTGAGTACGATAATTCTATTCCTAATTCTAAAGCCGTGTGCACGTGTCACTTATTTGAGTTTAGAGGGATTGTTTGTAATCACATCATCACAGTCCTTGTGCGTAACGAAGTTCATGCCCTACCAGAGTGTTACATCATGCAAAGGTGGAGAAGAGATATCAAAAGAGGATACACAAGAGTAAAAATTAATTATGATGGTTGGATTACGACTAAAGAGCAACAACGGTTTGACAAGTTATGCACCACCTTTGAAAGACTTGCAAATAGTGTGGCTGATGATGATGAACATTATGAACGCGTCTTGACATGGGTTGAAGGTGAATTACAAAAATGCAACATGTCAAATGGTCGTTCGTCAATTTGTGGAGTTATGACAATTAACGGACACCCTGCCAATCCAAGTCGTAGGCGTGAACGGACAAACAATTGTTCCTATTGAAGATCCAAACAGGACAAAACGTAAAGGCGCTCCGAGAAAGAATAGGCAAAAAGGGCCTATTGAAAAGGGAAAGAAAAAAGCTAAGGTACATATAGCATAAGTTGATGATTTGATGTTATTCTCTAAAGGAGATCTTACATTGATGTGATTTTTCTTGCACTTAAAATAGATAGTAGTATAGGGTGTAAATACGAGTATCGTCTCCACAAGGACGGAAAAAGGGAATCAAGAATTAATTAAATTCAACAATTAAACAGAAATAAAATAAAAGCAATTGTGCGAGATTGATTGATTGGAAAACTACATTAAAATATTTTCAAAGTTGCCAACTCTAAATTAGAAAATAATTAAAAATTGACATCCTAATGAAGTGAACAAACTCTTTGACTAAGAAAAGTCAAATTTGCAACTCATACATCAATGCACTTAGGGGGAGTAGATATTGATGCAAAGGAGGAAGCAGGAAAGCGGGACAAAGAGAAGGCCGAAGACAAGGAGAGTGACGGCAATGGGAGGAGAGCGGGGCAATGAGAGGGAGTACATCCCTGTCACGAATGCAATACACAGGGCATAGAGACCCAAAACGGTCAGTGAAGCTGCAACCCGATGAAGCAACCTGGATTCGTAGATTCTCATCATCATCATAACGGAAGCGAAGGTTGCGGCGAGAGAACACGCGACGGCCACCGCATCGCTGACCACGAATGCATCAAATGCAACGCGCTGCTGATGGGTAATTCTCGCCGTCGCTGCCGCGTTGAAGCTGCCGCCCGCCATGAAACCGGCCATAGCAATCGCCGCTATCAAACTGCCGGTGCCTGCTATCATGTAAGCCACTGCCTTCCCATACTTCTTTTGTACATCCTGAGGCATTATGTACATATATGTATTTAATTTTTCCTTGTATATATGTGTGTGTGTATATGAGATCCAATGATCGATCAAGTAATAACTACATATATACAACGAGCGAGTCTACGATATAATTGGATGTTGCGACTTCAAATAAGTTGAACTGAATGGCGAATGTATATATATTAATGGCCCTGCATAGATAGGAGCCGGACGGAGGAATTGAATATACTTTAATTTGAAGTTAAGTTACTTGAGCATTCAAAATTCTTTGCGTAAAGTTTACTTCACCTTATTTTTGTCCATATGATCAACTATAGTGTGACTCAACAAATGGAACTTTGATCATCATGAAGGATTTTTTGATCGAAAACTTGAATAAAATCTCTATTCGAAACATTTATGTATAGTTCAGGTACCATTTTGATTCATTTAAGAGTTAAGGTACCAAAATGCAACATTACTGATAATTAAGGTATCATTTGTGCATTTAGAGGTGTTTCTAATTCAACTCCAAACAATGATTTTGGATGAAATACACTCACTTTTCATTGGAGTAAAATCAAAGCTCAGCCTATATCTTCTCATATAACTATCTGATCGACTCGAAGGATGTTTTTACTTGGACTGTAATTTGCTGGCCTGGGCTGATCTTGTCTGGTCTGAATTGGTCTGGTCTGGTCTAGTTTCGTTGTATTTTTATAGCTATACAAGTCCGGTCTGATCTGGTCTGGTCTGGTCTGATCTGATCTAGTCTGATCTGTGACAAATTACAGTCCAAGTAAAAACATCCTAAAGACTCAAGATGGAAAAATTCAGGAAGGCCAACCCATCAACATAAGGTTTATAATAGGAAAAATTCACAAGAATAATCCCACCTATTATAGGTCTTTAACTATTAATCCCAAGTATAACTAATTCTAAAATAATCTCAGCTTTATCAGAACTCTTCTCAAATTGATCCATTTTACTCATAACTTGTTCATCGGGTAAACAAATTAAAAGAAAAAGAGAAAAAGGTGAACAACCAGTTTCTTCATCTCTTGTCACCTATTCCTCCTTCCTTTGTCTCTAACAGCAACGTTTCTCACTTTCTTCTTCTTCTATTTTTTATTTTCTTTCTCTTCTTTTTTCTCCCCCTCAATTGCACAAGTAAATCTCCTTCCCACCTTCCATTTAGGGCCCGTTTACTTTGGACTTAATGAGCTGAAATGGAAATATGGACTTAATCAATCATTTATATCTGGAAATAGGAAGGTTGTTTAATAAAATATCCTTATCATTTATATCTGTAAAAAAATTCAAGTCATATTTTTATCTGATATCCTTATTTTTTTCATCATATATTAGAAAATATTTGTTTATTTAATTCGAAATAATTTGTATGCAGGTTGGAAATAGGAAGGTTGTTTAATAAAATGTTCAAAAAAAAACAATTTGTATATACAATATTAGGATCAAGTATATTTTAGTCTCAAGAATACGAAGTACATGATATGTGAATGACTTGTTGAGAGAGGAAAACTAAAGTGCTGTTCTATCAAAATGATACGTGCGGAATAAATTGTGTAGAGATTTAGGTTGTTCAAACCCCTCTACCTTTATTAATAGGAGAGACCGAGAGAGTCGAACATCCATGTACAATTAGGATAGATAAGGCGCCCGGACTTTCTTTATATTTAGCTCACTTCTCTATTTATTTGTTACCATTAATTTGAACACAATAAATAATGTTCTAACATTATAGTTTTGTGATAAATCATTGTCCAGATTAAGTGTATTTTAGGTTTAAATTAATTTAGGTTGTCTTCTTTATCGTCGTGTGGATATACGAAACTATCAAGTGTCGTCCGAGCCTATAGTCGTCTAGGTAATGTCATTTTTTGCCTTTTACAATATGTTTTTTTATACTACGTATTAAATTAGCAATGACTAATTAAATAAAGCAATTGCTCGTGGTTACCCGCGGTTATATATCCGCGATTATACCCATTACCAGTTGGGCCATTTATGATTTGGATAAAATTACCCGACTTGTTAGGGGATGGGGGGATTGCCCAATAGGACGGGTACGATTATAAGTAAAACCATCCCCGATCCGTCCGTTGAAGTGTACTCAGGTAACTCAACCACTCATTGTTGGGATAAAAATTGGACCAATAAATCGAATTAGACCAATGCCAAACTCTGACGTCTCTGACTGCTTCTCTAAAGTTTTGCCAAGCTATCGTAGTGTTCCCTGACGCGTTTTTATCATGGCGCATATATTGATCTTTCTCAATTTGAAATGCCACAAAAAAAAATATTATACTACCTCGTCCCAATTTAGTTAGTCAATCTTGACTTTTCCGGTCAAAGGTGGTTCACTTTGACCAATTATTTTAATTAATATATTTATGAAAATATTAATAATTTTATAATAGTATTTTCAACAAATAAATTTTTCATATAATTTTTATATCATTAATTTTTTTTCTATATAGATATATAATCGGTCAAAGTTAGGTACCATTGACTTGAAAAAACAAGTTTCGTTAAGTAAATTGGGTCTGGCAATTTCCTTGCTTCTTCGGTTGTTAAATCTTACCCGACCGGGTCTGGCAATTTCTACCCGGTCAGGTTTTGCTCCTGGACAGTCAAATTTCTTGTTTTCTTCTCTTCAAAGTCCTCTTTTCCAACACCATAATTCCTAAATTTACTTTACAACTTGTAAATGAAGATTAAAATACAATTACAAATAAGATCACACAAATGTTTACAAACTAAATAAAACGATAAACAATACACACAAATCAAACATAAAAACATACACTTATGCACTACTAATTAGTGCATATCATTAATCATGATGTGTGGCTAGTTTCTTGATGGATTAATTGCATGAATGCCATTTAATTTGTGTTTGAATAATTTAATTGATATCTCTTGTAACCTAGAACGCACGCTAGAATTACAATTACTTGTAGAATAAACTAAGAGAGATCTAGTTATTCTAAGACACCTTCACACACACACTTAATCGTTCGCTAAGAGATTAGTAGCGATTAAGGGGCCGTCAGCTCGCTCGTCTTGGCAATAATTTAAGAACCTGTCGCATGAGAGATCAGTCTGGTCACCTAAATTATTGTACTCCACGCCGCGAGAGCGGTAAGAACTTAGTAATGATTAGGTAAGCTCAATTAAATTAATTTCATGTAATTAAGCCTAATGTGCCAGAAATCTGGTTACCCCGGAATCAATCTTCCCTTCGTCATTAATTAAGAAGAAATCAAATTTATTTTATTCGTTTGCCTGCAATTTAATTTAATTTTCCAATCAATCAATCTCGCACAATTGCTTTTATTTTATTTCTGTTTAATTGTTGAATTTAATTAATTCTTGATTCCCTTTTCCCGTCCTTGTGGAGACGATACTCGTATTTACACCATATACTACTATCTATTTTAAGTGCAAGAAAAATCACATCGATGTAAGATCTCCTTTAGAGAATAACATCAAATCATCAACTTATGCTATATGTACCTTAGCTTTTTTCTTTCCCTTTTCAATAGGCCCTTTTTGCCTATTCTTTCTCGGAGCGCCTTTACGTTTTGTCCTGTTTGGATCTTCAATAGGAACAATTGTCTGTCCGTTCACGCCTACGACTTGGATTGGCGGGGTGTCCGTTAATTGAGTCATAACTCCACAAATTGACGAACGACCATTTGACATGTTGCATTTTTGTAATTCACCTTCAACCCATGTCAAGACGCGTTCATAATGTTCATCATCATCAGCCACACTATTTGCAAGTCTTTCAAAGGTGGTGCATAACTTGTCAAACCGTTGTTGCTCTTTAGTCGTAATCCAACCATCATAGTTAATTTTTACTCTTGTGTATCCTCTTTTGATATCTCTTCTCCACCTTTGCACAATGTAACACTTTGGTAGGGCATGAACTCCGTTACGCACAAGGACTGTGATGATGTGATTACGAACAATCCCTCTAAACTCAAATAAGTGGCACGTGAACACGGCTTTAGAATTAGGGATAGAATTATCGTACTCAACCACCACATGGACTGTTTTGAAAAAAAAACATTCTCCATTTTGTCTTCACGGATATTGTAATGTATACCATCCTCACACCCTAACAGGTCACAATGCAACTTCCCGGCCATTTGAGCTTGAAACTCCTTGAACTTTGCAAGTGTGTACATTTGTTGCAACTCATGTTCCATGGCATATATACTCACACAAGGCAACAATTTGGTGAGACACTTAGCATCCTCTTGGAACTCTTTCTCTACTTTGCATTTCAACGCACGCCCATATTGATCAACAAATTCCTTTAGACTTGTTTTAGAATGAACAAAGTCGTCAAAAAAGGCGTTAATGCTCTCACTCCGTTGGGTCGTTGACATCCCTGCCCAAAAAGTTGGCCTCAAGTAGCATGGCACCCACCGATGTCTTTCATTGTAAAGCACATGTAGCCATTCGTGGTCATTAAGATGAAACCTTCACATTACAAAACATGAATCTTACAATAGTTGTCATATTGAACACAACTTGTAAAAAACAAATGCTTACCTTTGCAACATAGAACTCCATGCGAACTCAAATTGTGCACCTGTTTGGGAGTCATAAACAGCATCATGTAAACAACCACTAACTTCATCTTTATCAGTCAACCCTCCTAACTTCTCAGACACCTTCTTCATTATATGCCATAGACACCACCGATGTCTTGTATTTGGGAACACAATTTGAATGGCATTTTTCATTGCCCTATCTTGATCGGTAATAATTCCACTAGGACAACAACCATCCATACACTCCAAGCCACTTTGTAAACAGCCACACAAATGTGTCGGTGTCCTCATTTGAAATTAAGCCACAACCGAACAAGATGGATTGCCCATGGTGGTTTACTCCTACAAAAGGTGCGAAGGGCATGTCGTACTTATTGGTGAGATAAGTTGTATCGAAAGTTATCACATCTCCAAAATCTCTGTAAGCATACCAACATCGCTTGTCCGCCCAAAATACATTGTGAAGGCGAGATTCTTCATCTACATCAAGGGCAAAGAAAAAACCGGGGCACTCCGCTTGCATTTTGTAAAAGAAACTTTGAATTGCAATGGCATCAC